GTAGTGGGATATATGGGACTGTGTTGATTTAAGGCGTGTCTGTAAGTAATTTAAAATACAGAATTAAATTAGATGTTTGTATTTAATAGGGAAGCCTGCTGATGGACACTGAGTGTGTATCATGTGTTTTGTGTTTATTTTATCCCAAGTATCAAGGTTGCTTTATTTAATTGGAATGCATCATTGGGGAATTTGGTTTTGGTTTTTTGTGTTCAGAATGTTACTTGTATTCTCATTTGGAGAGAAGTCTGTATCAAGGGAACTCTGTATTGATTTTATCTGACCAGTGTGTGCATCTGTTTCAGACAGCAGATTCTGACAGATAAAAAAAAATATAAAAATATTATTTTGTGCTCAGTCAGCAAAACTAAAATCCATTTACAATACTTTTAACCTTGTTATGTTTTTTACTTTCTGAGTAGTTATGAGAAATTATTGAAACTGAATGACACAACATGTCAGTAAAAAATTCTTCAATATTTATGAAAACATGCAAGTACACAGTTATATTGCTATGCAGTAAATAAATATTATTTACTTTAGAAACATCACAAAACAAAGTCCAGTGAATTGAACAATGTTAAATTAAATTCTTTACAAAAAAATTGTACAACAGAGAATAAGATGATCGTATTTCAATTGTACTGTTGCATTGACCTTTGTTGATTACTAGCATTGACCCTCTTGCCTGCAACTGACACCCAATTTCCTATATGGGCTCCCTGTCATTGACATTGAACTACAGTAGTGTGTGAGTATGTATCTGTAAAAACAGGCCACACACATGGAATTAGGAAACAGAGTGAACCATGCATTGAATTTAAAAGATATCATTTCAGGGAGTCAGAGTGGCACCTCATTTGCATAAATTTGTGTAATCTTCTAATGGTGCATCCATGCATATTAGTTGAGAAATGATACACAATTGGCAAATATGTTAATGTAATTAGAAAAAGCATTGTTGAAGTAAATAATACTGAATGTGAATTAGGGAATTCCTTAGGGTGGTAGCCAGAATAAAATGTGTTTATTGTTCTTGAGGTTCAGGGTTGTTCAGCTGAGTAGATTTAGAACAACCAAACAGTGTTTTGTTTTGTTTTACCCACAAAAGTTAAATGTAACTGTTACTCCAAGACATTTTTGTAGTGTGTGGGACAGTGAGAAGTAAGACGTCAAGCCATTGAAACTGTTGTTAATTATTTGCATTATAAGTTAGAAATCTTTCTCACATAACTTGATTAAAAAAAAAAATCTTTGTCTTCCCATCAGTTCATGTCACTTGTGCCAATTTGTTCAAATATTTGTAAGGAGAGAGAATGTTTGTATGAAAAATGAAGTCTCAAGTTTAAGATTGATGTGACAATAATGCAGGAAAAACCATCGACCTTAGAAAACATAAGGTCTATGGACAAACATATTTGATATACACTAGACGTGACTTTTTGTTATGAAGTCATTAGAATGACTGGACAGCAAAGACAAGAATTGGGGGAAGTTAGTGAGTCAGAATGGAAAGGTGTCTTTATGAATCTCCTGTAGGGATTAAGTTAGCGATCGGGAGCCAATAAGAAAGGTTGAAATTAGTGAACTAGGGGGAAAAAAAATATCATCACCTCAACTTCAGTGGTTTTGAAAGGTTGCTATGGTGATATAATCCAAGTAGTCATAATGGGTTAAGATTAGGTTTAGTGTCTTTGGAAAGAGATTTCCTGCATCTGAAATGTGTTGTCATGAAAACAGACAAATGAGATCTGCTGGAGACTTTCATTGAAAGTGGGAGGTGGAGAAATAAGGGGAGGAAATTGCTTTATTAGTCGTATTCATTATTTGGCTTATTTCAGTGATACTCTCATGGGAGGGGGCAATTCAGGACATGCCCATTGAAATAAACAAACAACCACACACAAACAAATAACTGAAAGTACGTTGTATTTACCATTACAAGATGTTACAGTACACATCTGTTACCTTAAGACAAAAGAATTGCTTTGTTCATGAGAAACCTAATGTCTTTAAAGCCTGCCAGCAGTGAATTAAGATATTTTATTGCAACATTTAATTGAA